CTAATTGTCTCATCCAATAGCTTCAATCTAATCGTACAAATTTCAGTAACCCGACGGTGTGTTGTCTCCCATAACCACAACACCTGGCCAAGTGTTCTAATTGTCTCATCCAATAACTTCTATCTGACCATACAAATTCTAGCAACCCGACAAAATGTGTTGTCTCTCATAACCACGACACGTTTGGAAACGGTTCCATATGTAGTAAACAAGACCTTATTGGGACACATATGAAACATACATGTTGAATCCAGAATGCAATCCTGCTTTAGTTTAGACTCGATGTCAGAAATAGCCAAGAGATCTGCGAGGTGTGTTTCACCTGAAATCTCTGATTGCTTCCCATATCGACTTGCAGCCAACATTTCTTTATTATGCAATTTGTAGCAATCTTTCTTCAAGTGTCCCTCCTTCTTGCAGAAGTTACAAATCTGATTACTGAACTTAAACTTCGATCCTCCCCTTGCAGAAGTTACAAATCTGATTACTGAACTTAAACTTCGATCCTCCCCTTCTAGAACCACCATGAGCAACAAGCCTCTCCATCTCTAACCTTTGAAACTAGATGCTTCATCTTCTCTTTTGAAAACAATGCATCATACACCTCCTCTATGGTGAGAGTATCACGATTATACAAGATCATGTCTCTAAATGAAGAAAACGAAGTGGGCAACGAACACAATAGAATCAATGTCAAATCTTCTTCATCGTACTTTACTTCCAAAGATTTTAAATCAGCGACAATCTCTTTAAATACGGCCAGGTGATCTTCCAATGATCCTCCTTCTGCCATTCGATGAGAGTATAAACACTGCTTGAGATGCAACTTGCTTATAAGACTTTTAGTCATGCACAATTGCTCCAACTTCAACCATAAATCAGCTGCTGAACCCTCATTCAAAACGTCCTGAAGAATGATATTCGATAGATGAAGATGAATGTGGGAAACTACCTTCTTATTCTTTCGTAATTTCTCCTCCACGATCAAAGTTGCGAGCATCTTGTCAATTCCCAGCAACGGATCATCCAAATCCCGTTATGCAAGTACTACACGCATCTTAATCTGTCATAGCAAAAATCTAGCGCTCCGATCCAGAAGCGGAATTTCATGCGATGATGATAGTGCAAATGATGAATGCACAGGGGAAAAAATTGATATTATCGTGCCTCGTGTTGGAATGAAGTTTGAAGATGAAAATGAGGTGTTTGAATTTTACAAGAAATACAGTTGAGTGATTTTTGAGGCAGTTGAGTT